AAAACATATTTGTTGTAAATGTGCCTTAAAACCTGTGTTGATAAAGAGAAAGAAAACATATTTTGGAGATTGCATTTACCGTGAAAATCAGAAGTTTTAGAAAGTCGGACGAAAAGTCAGAAAAAAGTCGGTCGGTGAATAGTATCGTCCGTACGGATGAATAGTGACGTCCGTACGGTGAATTGTGTTTTGAGTTTTCAGGCTTTTTTTTTATTCGGTCCATGGATCCATGTGATTTTAGGCTTTGTTGGTTAGGTATTTGTTATTATAAATATGTATCTCTTATATATTTGATGTGTGATAATCTTAGAGTTTTTACCAACAAGAGAAACCACGGGTTTAAAGGTATAGCATAGGGTTTCAGCTATGCGCAAAGAAAACCTTGGATTACACCTTGAGTTTGAGTGATTCATATATTGAGAGTTGGAGAGGTAGGGAAACACTTGGGTAGAAAATATGGTTGTTCTTGGATGCCTTCAGGGTTGTTATTTGAAACCTGAAGGCGAAGACTATTTTCTTGTAATTCATCTATAATCTCTTGTAACAACTTTCTGAGTATAGTGAATTGGAGAGTTGCTTTTTCCTCTAGAGTAGATCGTTTGATTGAACTGGGTAAACAAACCTTTAATTTTTTCTTACGGATTATTATTGTTGAAGACCATTTATTTTTGTTCTTTGCCTCACAAGTTGATATTGAATTTTTTCGTAATTCACAATAAGTGGTGCAGTGAGCGTGGAGCAAAGAGATATTGTTGACAAGTGAGCACCATGGTTAGTAGACGGTAGATCAAGATTTTTTCCGGTAGCAACGACTTCGGGTTGTGGAAAATTAAGATGCAAACAATTTTAATTCAAGAGAAGTGTATTGATGCTTTGAAGAGTGAATCATTGATGTCTGTAGGGTTTACACAAGTACAGAAGACCGAGATGATGGATAAGGCCAGGAGTGCCATTATCTTGTGTCTCGGGGATAATGTTCTAAAAGAAATCGTCAGGAAGCAAACTGCGGTTGCTATATGGGAAAAACTTGAATCACTGTATATGACAAAGTCTTTGACTCACAGGTTATATCTAAAACAACAACCATATTCATTCTGAATGGTGGAGAACAAATTCATAGTTGAGCAGCTCATAGAATTTTACAAGATTATCGATGATCTTGAGAATATTGAAGTGAAGATTGATGATGAGAACAAGACTTTGCTCTTGTTGAGTTCATTACCCAGATCCTTTGAGCACTTTAAGGATGTCCTTTTTTATGATAAGGAAGGTACTATTACTTTATATGAAGTCTAGACGGTGGTGAAATCCAAAGAATTTTCAAAGTCAAAAGATTTGAAGATTGAAGATAGTTGTGAAAGCTTAAACGTGTCAAGAGGAGGAGGTGAGCGTAAAGGAATGTCCAAATCAAAGAAGTCTAACAAGTCAAAGATAAAATGTTTTAATTGTCAGAAAATCGGTCACTTTAAAAGGGATTGTCCTGAAAGAAAGGTCAATGAAGATTCTGTTCAAGTTGTAGTTGCATTGGGTGAGGAAAGTTATGAGGATGCCGAAGCACTAGTAGTATCGAGTTTAGAAACTGAAGATAGTTGGGTCATTGACTCAAGTTGGTCTTACTACAGCTGTCCAAGAATAAGATACTTTGAAACATTGAAGATGGTGCAAGGTGGAGTAGTTTGCCTTGAAAATAATAAGGCATGCAAGGTTCATGGTATTGGTACGGTCATATTTAAAATGTTTTATGATCGTGAACTTCTTATTCACAATGTGAGGTATGTTCTAGAACTCAAGCGAAATTTGTTATCTATAAGTATGTTTGATGGTTTATGCTATTGTACTAGAGTTGAACATGGAGTGTTGAAGATTTTGCGTGATGAATTGATTATTGCTAAAGGGTCTAAAATATGTGGTTTATATATTTTCGAAGGTTCAAATGTTATTATTCATTCATCGTTAACTAGTGGAGGCTTTCATGACAAGGAAGAGCTATGAGATTTGAGTTTAAGGCATTATGAGTGCCTTGGGAAAGTTTCAGAGGAATACAATAAATTTTGCAGAAATCAAGGGATAAAAATGCATGTTACCGCTGAGTTGTTATTGAGTTTTTGAGGAAGAGCTGAAGTTAAAACAACTTACTTGGTTGGTAGAGAATTTCTTCAGAAGAAGAATAATGAAAACCAAGGGAGAAACCTAAGAGAAACTATAAGGAGAAAACTCAGTTTGAGGTGGAATTTCCTACTATGGATGCTAGCAGTAGTGATGGAACAGTTACAGAGATCTCTAATTATCATTTGACTCATGATAAGGTAAGGAGAGTTATTGTAGCATCTCAAAGGGACGATTATGCTAGCCTTAGATATTATGTTTTTAATGTGGTTGAAGAATTGTAAAATAAAAGAAGAAAAACCTTCAGGGAGGCATTTGAAAACAAGTGGAGTTAAGGGTGGTTGAAAAATCATACTTGTAGGCTTGTTAAATTACCTAGGCATAAGTGGATTCAAGTTGCGAGATCAAGATTCAAAGGTTGTTTGAATTTGATCAAAGTTATTGATTAAAATTTCAATTTGGTAGAGAGCAACAATATTATTGATTGTTAAATTAGTATAAACACGACTTAAAATTAAGGTGGAGATTGTTGCAAACCAAACTCAAAATTGGAGATTAAAATTCTCCTTAAGTTTGTTAAAAAATATTAAGAGAAGGTTGTGAATAGTAGAAAATAGGAAGCAAGCCATATAGATGCATCATGTAGAACATGCATTATATAAGCTAAGTAACATATAGAAGAAACAAGCAATTATATAAGCATCATGATGCACATATGCATGGTTATGTCATCATGTAATCCATATATATATATATATATATATATATATATATATATATATATATATATATATATATATATATATATATATATATATATATATATATATATATATATATATATATATATATATATATATATATATATATATATATATATATATATATATATATATATATATATATATATATATATATATATATATATATATATATATATATATATATATATATATATATATATATATATATAAAGGTGCTACACATTGTATAAATGTTTCAATGATTCAAGCAAAGTTAAACATGATTCATTCAAATTCTAATAATCTCTTTAATGGATAGTTGATTTCTTAAATTGTATGTCAACATCATGGATTTGGATCCTCTCCTTTTTTATATATCATGCCATCTCTCATGTTTCTAATCTAACGATTCAGAATTTATAATAAATAATTAAATAAAAAAAGTCATTTAATAGGAGAGAGAAATGGATAAGTAATTTGTCTTTGTTATTTAATTATTTATTATAAATTCGAAACCGTTAAATTAAAAACATGAGAGATGACATGATATATAAAAAAGAAGAGGATCCAAATCCCAACATCATACATAACTGGAATCCTTGCAAATACACGTTTTATTCTTAATCCTTGCAAATATACTTTTGGTTTTTAGTGTTTTGTGTTAGTTCTCGTAAAATTTATTTATTTTGAAATTGGTGCCAATGTAGCATTCACCTTGTAAAAATGGCTTGATTAAAATATAATTTTAAAATAAATCTAAATATACTACCATGAATTCTTGTACTACTTTTCATAGTCTCGTGAAAAACTCAAAATACTCTATAAAATATTACTATTAACATGTCCCTTAAATTTCAAAGATACAGTTCCGAAAACACATTTATCTTAAGTCAAAATATTACTATTAATTCGAAGATCGTCTCCGAAATATTTCAAAACACATCCTATGCATCCCACTAAGTCACACCAACATATTTTGTAAACACAAATTCAAAAATTATATCTCCTAAATATTTCAAAATACATCTCATACATCCTTATCTGAAGTGCCCATTTTAAACATTTATTGATCCAAAGATCTTTGTAACAAATCAAAACAAGACAAATTAGTTTTATAACTACTCATAGTGCACTCGAAGATAAATTAGTTTTATAACTACTCATAGTGCATTCGAAGACGTATCTCTAAATTCTAAAGACATTTTTATATTTTTACGTGACATTAAGAAATTCCCTATGATAATAAATATTGAATGGTTTTGTTGAATTAATTTTTCAAAGATTAAAATGAAAATGGTTTTGTTGTTGTTGAATTAATTTTTCAAAGATTAAAATAAAAATGGTTTTGTTGTTGTTGAATTAATTTTTCAAAAATGAAAATGAAAATGTAGAAGCATTTCGTGGGAGATAGGTTTCTTAAAAGAAAGAGGATGAATAGAAATGGAAAGATAAAAGCATTGTTGGGTTAATTTTTCAAGATTGAAACTGAAATGTAGGAGCATTTTTGGTGGAGGTTTGTTGTCACTCTTTTTCTTCGCGTGTCAGTAAATTTATGAACAGTAATAACTGTTTAAAAATTTACTTCCAGATTTATTCCAAAAGTATATTTCGGCTTTTTTTTCAAAATAAGAATGAGACTCACTTGCATGAATTTAATGTATTTGAAATACGTCCGAAAATATATTTTTAAATTTTAGAAATAATTTTAATTTTTTCCTAAGATGAAGAAGCAATACTTAAGGCACCTTAAGCAATTCCCTTAGAAATTGATTTTTCCTAAAATAATTAAATCAAACCTAAACATGCACCTACTCAAACTCTGCAACATATTAATCAAAATCGGTAACGGCCGGCAGCCATGCCTTTCAGAATTTCATGAGGCAGCCATAATTAGTGACGCTTTGAAACTTTTCATCCCATCTGCCACTTGAAATAAACAAAAAAATTAAAGGGAAACAGCTATCTTTCCCCTTTTTGTAATTTTATTTCCTATTTTCTCCTTTTTCTTTCTCTATAACCTCCATTCTGGCGGAAAAAAAAAAACCAAAGACTGAGGTTGGATGAAGCTGCAAGTGCAACCTCAGACGAACTACAATTTACAAGTCAATAAAAGGTTAGACGGATGAATAGTACGTTCAAATAATCAATCACCTAGGGTGGTTGGGTTTTGTGAATTTCTTCAAAGAGAATTTGCCTAATTGGGATCTGTTCAGCTGCCGGCTTACTGTCAGTAAGAATGCTGTACAGAGAGTTCAATTCTTCAGCATTCGCCTTTTTAAATAGTCTCTTTACTGCTGCAACGGTTCCAACGGGTGTGTTCTGATTTGTGGTCACCCCCTGATCGTTCCCACCTCCACCATTCACAGTGGTCTGGCCAGCTTGTAAAAGCTGCCCTTGAGGCCGAGAGAATGGCCGAGAGTCCCAGTATTCATTACAAACTCGACTTCGATCTAGTGCCTCAATAGCCTGATGAAAGAAAGCAGATACATTATCAAAAATGTGTCCAAGGAAATAAAATCAAATTGGGCATTACAAAACTAATAACACTGAAACTTTGTTTTCATACACAGGGCTAAATAAACAAAACTAAGACTGTTTGAAATCCAGATGTATGTAAAACAAGTGCCACACTTTTGCATCAATAATCCCTCGTGTTGCTTTCTTAATAAAGGAAACTGGTTTTTCTAATAAGAAGTTAAGGCTAACAAACTCCCACTTTCCTTCCTGACGGGTCGGTACAACATATTTTTTGGCCTAAAAACTGAGGATTTTTTAAAAGAAAAAAAAAATAAAAATCAAGAGCCTTTTAAGGCCAAACTAATTTAAAATATTAAATAGAATGTGTACATTTTAATTCAGAGTGATAAGATATGAATATCGTCCGGACCCCAAGTTCACGCCACTCCGGCTACAATGTATTGCTCCCTTTAGGTGTGAGAATCCTCACGACTTTGTCTTTTAGAAAAGGTGTCTCGTTGGTTTGAGATGTATGGGTATTGTATATAAACTACCCTTAGCCTCAATTCTCAAGCAAAATGGGACTATTTTGGCCAACCCGGAACAGTTGCCCCCCAATCGAGGGGCGCAGTGCAAACTTTGAGTTTCTACATACAGTGTCAATGTTTCGTTTGACCTCAAGTTCACGCCACTGCGGCTACGACTACGAGATATTGTCCGCTCTAGGTGTGGAAACCCTCATAGCTTTGTCCTTTAGAAAAGGCATCTCGTTGGATTGAGATGTATGCGTGTTTATATGTATATAAACTACCTTTAGCCTCAACTACTAAGCAATGTTGGACTATTTTGACCAGCCCAGAACAAATATCAAAGTTGGTAATTAATAAGATAGTATTTATTAATAATGGATGACATAGTAAGATGGTGGATCAAGTTTTAACGAGAAATATTTGGAGCCTAAGCAAATGCTTTACATGTCACCCTTGGGCACCCCCTACTTTTTCCTTTTTTAAAGAAATTACCAACATACATGGTTTGTGGATTTTCGGCAGATCATAAAACATGTTTAGAAACATGCTGGGTTGCATTTTATGAAAATGTTTATTGTTACTTCCCTGTCACCAGTATTAACTGCAAAGGGTGTGACACTAACAAAAACAATACTTGGTTTTTTTACCAAATTAAAAATTACTAGATATTTATCCATGGAAGGTGGAACGTAGAAGAAACAAGAATTAATTTAGAATTACCTTCCAGCCCATGTCATACTCAAAAGAAGCACTTTGAGCTATAACGAGTTTTGATTAATAAAATTACCTGCACTATTGCTGGTGAAGAAAATCCAAACATTTCAAAGCCATCAAGGCTTCCAGGAGGATGTAAAGGAGGAAGACCTTTTTTTCCCAGCTTATGTTGTTTTGCTATCTCTAGATTCACTCTCTCTCTAACCAGATCCCAGCATTTTGTTGCTGACATATGAATGAAGACCTCATTTGGACTATTTTCCAAGGAAACCTGGGATAACAACCAAGATTTAGTTCTTTAGTAAATAAACTATTTCCAGTTCCAGCCAACTGAATCACTCACCGACTCAAAGCAGTTCTCTCAATGGCCTAAGTAATTTTCAACTAAAAGCAACTAAGATCTAAAAAAAGTTTAAAAGTCACAATTTTGATCTGACAGGAAATATGTCACCCAATAAGTTAAACATGACTGCTACTAATGAAGATAACACCATACCACAACAGCTTGTTCATGTTTACCTCACGACTCAATTTTAAAAGTTAGACACTCATAATGGCCTGTGATTGAACAAAATCCATCTCAGAGAATAGGTAAAGAGCCAAAAGATTCTCTATAACACTAATGTCAAAGAAACAACTTCTGAAAACAAAATTTTGCTTTAAATGCTCAGTATAGACATGAACTGAAAAATAGATGAGCCAAGAATCTTCCATCAAATTTTCCCCACAGAATAAGGGCTAAACCTCAAACAAGATTTAAGCAACAACGGAATTTAAATTTCCAGCACATGACAAATTTACACAAGAAATATGAAAGGCTTTTCAAGGCAAACTGAAAAAAAGTACATACATTAAGACCATTTGCATAACAAAAGGTTGTAATTAAACATAATAAGGTGAAAGTACCATAAATAGAGGCGACCCACGTCCAGCATCAAGAATTTCTGAAAGATAGTAACATGTACTGCATGGATCTAAGACATTTATATATCGAACACGGCTTCTAAATCCTGCATCAATTAATTTAATATGCATAAATTCACAGCTTAAAAATTCAACTAAACAATGACATGGACATGCAAGTAACCATAGACCAAATATACACACCCTTTGGAAAAATAGCCTGACTGCTGCACCATGACTTTCCAGAAAGTACAATTCCAAATTCCAAAGGCTCGACATTGCAGTTGATACGACGTACAACCTTTGCAATACGAGGACCTTTCTGACGGTAATTATTTGGACCACACGAGATGTTTCCATTAATAGCTCTTGCATTATCTGCTACATTAGAAGTGGAACAACCACCTAACTTCTCATGATTATCCTCACTCTTAGCCTTAATAGTGCCGGAAGGTTGTGGTTTCAGAGGACAAACCTCCAAACTTTCCAAACCATGATCACTAGCCTCCCCTCTTGAAGAAGCTGGAACGTTCCTTACTGATTCTGCCCTAGTAAGACCTATATGAAAAGAAAGATCTACTGGGGTAGAAGGTAGATTTGGTCCTCTCTGTTCATGAGGTTCTTGTTTCATATGCAAAAGCTGAGTTGAACACGAACCCGGATCTTCACGAGGCAGCATAATAGCCTCCTTCTCACCCACCACAGAAGCATCTGTCAAAGGGATGGTCAAGCTTTTATATTCTATATCACTACACGGGCTTGCTTTATTTCTAGAACCAGCAAGCATTTGAGGAACCTCCTTCCTTCTATTTGAATCTGGCATCTTCATTTCTTCATCTTCATCATCACTAAGAAGTATGATATCATCGGGTCTGCAATGTGAACTTTTCTCATCTTCATGTTGAGCTAAAGGCGGAGATAAAGCATATGAAGAATCCTCTACATTTAATTGACATACAGGAGCATTCGGCTTTGATTTGCAAATAACAGATTCTTCTTGAATAACACAGATTTTACGATTAGCTATTTCACATGTAGGTTTAGAGCTATTAAATATTGATAGTTCCTTTGTGTGACTCAAAGGAGATACAATTTCTGCTGATTTCGCCTGTTTAAGATAGCTCTGATCCTTGCTATTTGCTGAAGTTGCTCGATCCACTATTGGAGCATCGGTCAATTGCGAATTGTCAATAAACTTATTTGATGGATGCAAAGCCACTTCTTTATTCATGTTGACCCCGGAAGAATGCGACGAGTTGGATGAATGCGATTTCAATTCCTGAACAACTGTTCTTTTATCAACTGAGACATATGAAGTTAGTGCCAGCCCAAGATGTAACTTTGCCCATCTGTAAACTGCACTTAATTTTCCTTCCAATGCCTCAACAAGAACATTTAGTTCACTAATATCATAACGAAAGAGGAAAAATTTGGAGTTCCAAGAGCATGAACAAAACTGCTTTGCATGATCCAAGCAAGCATATCTATCTGAGGAACAATGACAGGCAGCAGCAGATAGGTGTAAATCAAAAAAGCAGATGTTACATTCCCTTTCACTTGCAGCATCAAAACTACTCTCCATTTTTAATGCCTTTGAAGAACTGCAAAGAAATTCCCTTCTTACTCGCTCCATCTCAACACGTGCCTAGGGGGAAAAACCATTAAAAAAACACATTAGAAGAGTATTCACAAAGCATAACCCCATATATTTTTATTCATAATTCAATATTGACTTTAATACTGTGAAGTCAGAAGCATATTTTATTTTGGCAGCAAGAGGGTGGAGGGTCACTCATTAGTCAGGAGCATCAATTTCAATTACTATGAAATTGTAATTGACGAATAATGTTTACTTTCCCCTTAGAGGTTTTAGTATTAAAACGAGAGACACAAATTCAAAGTGAATAGAACAAAATTTCTGAAGTTTAATTACAACTTTAGGGAATTGTAATATGTTTCCATTAATAAAATTAAGTACCATCAGTAAACTAAAGGATCTTTTTTCATAAATCAGGATTTGTCAATTGTCACCCCCAATGGAGACAAGTGAAAAATAATATGAGTTGGTGAATAACACAGAATATGGCCTTCAAATGACCAACCAACGCATGGCTTCCAAATGGACATGATAGAACAGGAAAGAGAAATGACACCATAAGTCAGTACAAATAGAATAGAATATTCAAGAGGTTAAATAAAAAATTACAATATATATGAACAAAGTATCAGAATAAAGCGCCTCTTTCCGCCTTCATTCCTTTACAGCGTGTAGTGGTTAACATTTTTGCTGTCAAATCCGGATTCTGGAATATCTTCCAAAGTTATAAATTGAACATCTGTGAGTTGATCAATAAAATTGAGTCCATACACGGTAAACAGGCATATGAGAGGCACGCCAAATATATAAAATCATAACTGGCTCTCCACCTAAGAGCTTAAGTTTTAAGAAAAGTTAGTGCTTGACAACTGTAGACACTGATCAGTTAGATACAAAACAGCCATGAGCAAGTGGTTGACCGTTTGATCCTTAGTACCCCCTTTTTCTAAATTGAATTGAACTTCACCAATGCAGCATCGTTTACGGTTCAAGCCTAACAAAATCTTGAATGAAGGTGACAGTTATATCTAAAACTATTTGAGATCCTTCATCTAAATAATTTATATTTCTGGGAGAATTGGCCAATGACATTCAGAAATTACTGAATTTGTACCTAATTTTTTAATTATATTATAGGTGTAAGATTAATTATGTCTTGAAAGCTTAAACAGTTAGCGGATGACATAATAACACACACCTTCACTTAAGAGCCCTATGGGATTGAAGCATGGACAATACAAAGGCCCATCCACCTTACACTAAAATTCAACTTTTTATTATAAGATGGGAGTGGTTGAGGATTGAAATTTAGGCAACTTGATCATAGAGTAACCAAAATAACTTCATTTGCAGTCCCTATGTTTAACAAAAATAGTGAGCTTTTAGTTCCATGACTCGACAAGAACTAAAAACACCCGGTTTATGTATATTACAAAGACTATAAATATCTAAATAAAATTTTATTGAGACTAAAATTAAATGTTTGTGATTTTATAGGAACTAATACATTTAACCCATACAATTATATAGTTTCAATATTTATTTTGATGGAATGGGAAGAAATGGTTCTTCCATTCCATACCCACTGAATTGGAGGGGAAGAGAAATGTGTTCGATGAAATAGAATGGAATACAAATCATCAAGTTCCATTCCATCCTAGTTAAAACAATTCAAACAAAACAATGGAAACCAGTCTCATTTTATTTAATTCTACTTCATTACATCCCTTTCTGGCAATCCAAACATAGCTTAAGATGACTAATATGCTTTACATGGTGGTTCAAACAAAACTACCTTACCATAAATTGCATAAATATGGTCATGTCATAAATTAAATAGTTAAAATGAAACCATGAATATTATCCCTTTATACAGAATTTTATGGAGAAACAAAATTTACCTTGAACGCTTTTGCCAAAAGACCATCCTTTCCACAAACATCTCGCCATTTTAGATTATCCAAAGTGTTTTTCTTCAGCAAAGCAAGCTCCCACTGGGCTCGTACTGCTTCCCTAGCAGCCCCAAGCAATAGCTTATCATGAGATATGGAAGTCTTGCGCCCCTGCTCCCGGTACAGCTCTATAGCAATATGTCCATGGGGCAACCAGTCAACAGGAGCTACATTAACAGCCTCAGCACAGTTGAAGCCACAATTGAACCCTGAGTGGTAGGCTCGAGGAAATGTCAAAACAAAGTCTCCAGGGTTTTGGACACACCTATAAACTGGCACACCTTTTGACTTAAGAATAGAAGGAGAGAGTTGTGTGACCTGTAAACAAAATTTAGAAATTCAAGCATCAGATAAATATATGTCAAAAAACCGAAGCATGATCATCCAAGAGAAATATTTGTCTGCTCAAAAATGAAATATGACAGGTGAAAAAATAGATCGAACTTCACCCCACCCAATGTGAAGATATCAACAGTTTTAATCTTGTTTGTTACTATTGGGAGAAACCCAAGTCCCACTTTGATTAAAGATAGAACCTACAAAGGGTTTATAGAGTTGCGCTCCTCACCTTACAAGCCGGTTTTGTAGGGATGAGTGAGCCCTAAACCACAATTCTAATACGGTATTAAGAGCTATCCATTCAAGTCACCCACCATTTATACATGCGCACCAAGGCCAATATTGTTAGATGTAAGGGGACGTATTGGAAAAACCAAGTCTCACAATTCTGGTCACCCACCGTTTACATCCACGCACTAAGCCCAATGGTGTTGGGCGTGAGGGGGTGTATTTGGAGAAACCCAAGTCCCACATTGGTTAAATATAGAGCGTATAAAGGGTTTATATAGAGTGACACTCATCACCTTATAAGCCAGTTTAGTAGGGATGAGTTAGGCCAAACACTAATTCTAACCGTTACTAACTAGCAAAGAAAACAAACAAGAGGAACAACGGCATGTGAAGCGAGAGACAAACATGTGATCCCCATTTGCAACATCCTAATCAAATGAATTTGTGCAGTGGCAGAAAACTTTCACTTACCAGCTTATGAAGCAAGTCAGGTTGTTCTTCAAAAAGTTCAGGTAAATGCTTTCGCATGACCTCTTCCAATTTGCATGCATCTTTTGCAGGGACACCATACCACATTTTTGGAGCACCCCAATGCATATAATTCAATGAATATAGATGGTGATCTTCCACATGCTGCACCCACAATTAAACCATAACAAAAAGATAAAGTGACTCTTAAAAATAAAGATGCTGTGTAAGCAATCTCTCTTTCTCTCACACAAACATGCATGTGCAAACATAAACTTCAACAAATTCCACTTAGCGCAAACCAAATAGCTCAGATGTAGTTTACTAAGGAAAGCAGGGCAAAAGAATGCTAACTGCATGGGTTCCTTATTCTCACAATAAACACATCCATAGCATCCCCTCTCACTCAAAGGGTGCATTAAGTATGAAGAGACATCAATCTACATTCTATATAGATAGGACATACTAACACAATATGCACATGTACAAGGATAGAGTCCTATAGACAACAAATGTAAGGCATGTAAATGTATACTAATAAAGATAAAGATAAATATAATTGTATAATGAACACGATTTACAATTTAATTATGAAAAGAACAAAAATAAGGAAACTAGTTATATGAAAGCTAAAAGAAAAAGAAAAAAAAAAAATATATATATATATATATATAGTCTCCCCTAAAAACAAACTATTTTTTCTTTCTAAATGCCACAGGTTGTTCTGATCGTTGATTGAAAACCCTAGCTTGACTGCAGCTAGGAATAACAATTTTAAGATTTGTTTTTTAGAACAGCCCAAATCAATAGCTCTAGTACACCATCTCGACTCTTGAGACAGGCAAACATTACTGAATTGCTTGAGGAATCCCTCAACACAATCAATTTTATATATTTGGAAAGTACATAAGTAAATGAACTAACTATATGAAACTATGCAAATAAAATAAAATGAAACATGTAACATTGAATATATTATATTCTCCCTAAACAGAAGATACTTTCCAACAGGTATAAGCATGAGTTGACAAAGAATTCATGAACGGTGTGCTAGAAAACAAGGAACTATGTTATCCTTACCCAACAAAATGAGGAAAAGCACATTCCTATATACAACCATGGCACTACAACACCAGATATATCACTGGTTTCATAAGAGAGCAGAGATCCAGGTAACCTCGCAAAGTTATTTAAATTCCAGCCAGATTTTATGTATTGATCATATGAAACAGAAACTTGATTAGACTTGCTGGGAAAACCACTCCCAAAAATCCCAGTTTCCAGATCAGCTCCATAAAGCACCTAGAAGTATATCCAAAATAAAATATAAGGAAAGGGTCGTGTACAACGGCTAATGGTATGCAATAATTTCATGAAGCAGCAGAGTTACCTCAATTTCTTCAGTAGGACTCTCGACCATCCGCCAGTATTCACCCTCAATATTCTCCACAGAAGGATCTGAGATACCATTTAAAATTGTTGTATTAGTGCTTGGATGAGATAAATTATCATTTCTGAAGTATTTGGCCTTAAACTCGTCTGCATATCTCTTAAATGTTTCCAAGGTAAACTCTGGGCCAGGTTCAAACCCAAACCTTTCAGCTTCACAAAATACTGCATTAGGCTCTGTTCCAGTTCCAATATCCACTCCCATTCTCGTGCATCTCCTCTTCCTTTTCAAATTATTTTGAATCCTTGACTTCTTTGCCCCTGAATTACGATTCTGAAGTTTGTCGATTCTCTGAACACGGGTAGCAAATTTAGAACCCTCCCATATATTTTTTTCCTTGAGAGGACAAGGGGGTTTCCATGAACGCGGGGGAACAATACGACAAATTCCATATTGTTCAGCTCTTGAGCGAATACTTGATATGTATTTCAAAGTATCTTGAAATTCCTGGAAAAAAAATTATGAACAAGTCAGAAATCGTATTCTACAATAAAGCTAACCTGTAGAAGTAAACATATAAATGGCAGGTAAAGAAGTGAACTCAAATAAGCCACGAGAAAGAGTGGGACCTCTTCAGTGGGGTAGAAAACAGGAGCATCCTCGAGATTTGGCTTATGAGCATCTTCTGGTTTCCATCTGGCAATGACCTGCCAGAAACTTCGATTGTTAATTACTCATCAGGAAAAATAATGCCCAATAAAGTAAGCTTCTTTGCAAATTGTCAAGGTAAATAAGCAACTTGTGTTTTAAATTTTTAATATACTACAATAACGGAACATCCCAACTCGTAAAACTCGGTAATGAAAAAATATGATTATTATCATATGCCTATATTAATTAATATTAATATTAATACAATAATAAAAGTAACATAAAATAATGGAGAGATGATTGAAGTAGTGACAGGTCAGAGTTAACTCATTAATTAACGAAGATAATAATATTAATGCTAACATCAACAAAGCACCTTTTGGCAATTACGGCAATCTGGACATCCTCTAACTACTCCTTTAGGAAGACATGGTGTCGAGGAGAAATTCTGCATTAACATTTGTACGTAAAACACTAATCAGGTGTACACTCTTGTATATAGTTACTGATATACATTGCAATAAAAATCAAGACATAAAAAAGAAATGAATCCACGTGAGACTGACTTGATCATGCCGCTCAGAATCAAAGTCTTCATCGGAACCGTTCTCACACTTTCCATGGTTAATCCATGGTCTTCGTCGAAGGGATCTAGAAACCTTAGCAGTATCACTAAATTGAACACCATTTCCAACCTGAGTTGACTGTGATTCACAAGCACTTGTAGAAGAACTGGTCGGATTTTTATCATTCTGTTTCTCATTCTCTTCCACCCTCTTCAGTGCGAAAGATGTATATGACTCAAAACCTGGTGGAACTGATGGAAAATCATCATTATCTTCTTTAACACATATCCGCATAAGCTCAGTCCCCATTAATGACCCCATGCAAAAGGCAATAAGCAATAATGTCTCTGATTTGTTTTCCCTGCGAATAAACAAGTTAGTATAAAACCATAACCTACACCCTTCACAGACACACAAAAAACGTCGATTTATCTTCTATTAAACTTACTTTGATAAGAAGTATACGTATATGTAGAGTTCGCCGGGTCTGTAAACTTCCACTGCATATGACAGCTATAAATGAAATCGTTAGAACCTAAATCAAGGTTCCAATAGCTTTGTAAATAACCGGAAAGCAACAATCTGAAACACGGCACAATGAACAGACAAAGAGCTAGGTCAGTTAAGGTAAAGCATTTGCATGCAAACGGTATCATAATATTCAGTACTTTCCTTTTTTAATTTTGTCAAAATTACTACCCTTACTCTAGTCACACAAAATCATTTTCTATAATGTCGCATTCATACAACAGAATTGCAGATCAGAAAGCAAAATGCATATTGAAATTTCAATCATCTGTTTATCATTCATGTTTAATCAAGTATGAATCGGAAAATAAATGACCAATTAAATGTAAAGAAAGAAAGAAAAACATCATCTAAACACACACTATGACCTAAATTTTTTTATCTCTTTCTTACTTCTAATATTTATCTTCCTCATCCTTTCACCAATTCTATAGACACAAAAGTACCAGATCTTTAAACTTTAATTCATTGTTAACATTTCAACAACCAGATCATGAGATCAGAAGTTCAAAACAATTCATCAATCACTGGATCTATACAAAATTATGTACCATTACATTTCCAACTAAACCTAACAATATAGATGCAAAAAAACCAAAATAAACATGATTATAAAGTTACAAATTCACAACAAAAATATAATTTCAAATTGTTGATGGTTATAAACCATGAAAAAAAATTAATAATAATAACATCTTAGTCAACAATATTACTATAATCAAGCAATTTTGTGGTAATTATGAAAAATCATAACGAAAAAAGCGCAAATCCATACCCTATGATGAGATATCTAAAGGAAATCGTGAAGAATTGCGATGTTTATTGTATGGTTGAATATAGAAAATAAGTATGTTGTTACAATGGTGAATCCGTCAGGGATGAAATTGAAGTCCTATAGATTGGTTCTGGTAAGAAAAAGGAGCTTGAAGAATTGAAATTTAACTGAAATTTTACAAACCCTAACAAGATATAGAGGAAGAAGATGATTAAAGAAGCAACAAAGATAAATCTACATCCTCTTTCATTAATGTCCACTTTTTTTTTTTATTTTGGGTTTTTTTTAATTTTGGTCAATTTGGGGTGAAAGTTGTTATAGTGAAAAAACATGTATAAAGTAACTGAGCCCAAGGGTATTTTGGATATTTCAATGCTTTCTGGGCTTTTTCTTAGCTTTTATGTACTGTGAATTTTTAAGAAATTAGCAAGAGTATATCTATATTTGGTATAGAGTCTGGTCCGGCTAAACCTAGACGCGAAACGAAGTGAGATTTGTGATAGGGCGATTAAACTCGTTGATGTATAACCATAAAAAAATAAAATGCAAAAAGGAAATAAATATTTTTAAAAAATCTTTATACAATTTTTTTATTAATGATGTATAAAAAGTAAATTTATAACTAAAAAAACTTTTTCTTTGATTTATTAGTGATTTATTAGGAATTATGTTTATAACATTTATTTTCTTAATAATTAATTTATAAGTAAATATTAATATATAAATATAAATAAATATTGTTCGCATTTATCAATTAATACGTTGAGTTATCTTATCCATCCAAAATTAAATTGTGGTGTGTATGACTTTTATTTTTAAAATAAATGAATCTAATATAAAAGTAAAAACAAATTATAAAATTTTATTAATTATTAACAAAAATTTTGTATGTAAAAATAAATATGGAAATTCTTTATTTGACCATAAGACTATTCTTATCTCTTTTTGGAGTAATGAATAAAAAAATATTTTGTATTATATTTAATTTTAATTTTTTAATATTATTATAATATTTATGTTTTTTTTACAAGTAAAAAAAAAAATATCTAGAAAATAAAGTCTCACCAACATCCGCTAATAGAGAGATGATTTTAATAGGAGGTTCTGCAAAATACTGGTACGACGCATTATTACTAGTCTCATGTTTGGCCAGATAGTCGGTACAAGCATTCCCCTCCATAAGAATATGAAATATTTGAATTCGTTATTCCTTAGTAAGAAACTCTTTAATATCGTGAAGAATCGCGACATAGTGATGTCAAACATTAATTGACTCTAATATAAGTTTGATAGTAGAGTTGGAGTCAATATAATATAAGTCTTTAATGTCATGTTCCCAAGCCATACGCAAACCATGATATAACGACATCTGCTCAACATTAAGGATGTTGGAATAACCAATCTTACCTACTAAGCATTTCGAATTAATCCATGAAAACTCAAGACGCTTAGATTGTCGAGGTTACTACCATCAACGTTCAAAATCATATTATTATCTTTATGTGCATTTTGTATGATCGTTCTCGTCGGATGAAATGCATTATGTTTAAGAAAACATTTATTTATAAGATTAGCATAATTCAATGTGATGAGTTTTAAAATATAAGAAGATACTACTTCAATAGCAAGACAAAATTTGTTCATAGCACACCACAACCATCAGCAAGCAGGCAAAAAGATAAAATAATCATCGATGTCATGTTTAATCCAATCATCTAAATTATCTCATTGCAAGAATATTTGATCCAAGAAGCCAATAGATTTTCAAAAATGAGTAGCAAATTCATAGTCTCTCAGACAATTTAGAGTCGTTCACCGTTTTAATTGCATCTAAGACAGAGATATGTCTGGAGCATATCACGATGACACAACATCAACCTCGTAAAATAAAATTATGCAAAGTCGTTCAAAGGAAAAAATTTCACCATCCAAAAGAAATTATGTTTAAATGTTAGTTTTAATTATTAAATTAATTTGATATTTTTAAGGCGAATTACTTGAATAAATTATGAATTCACACATGTTTTTTATTTGCAAATAAAAATTTAATTATTATATGTACTTTTTTTTATCTATGGAACATAGTAGATGCGAATAGGATTAGTAAATCATGGTCCGCCAGACAAATTTGTTTTGCTCGATTTTTTTACCTGATAAATTTAAATTTTTTTTGGAATTTTACAACTTTTAGCTTTTGGAGGTGCAAGGTTTGTATGTCAATTCCGTCCTTTTTTTTTTGCAGCGAAGACTTAGGTTTTAGAAATTTTTTTTTAAAGTAACTAGGTTTTTTAAACATTTTACCAAATAAACATATCATTCAAAAAAAATTCCAAACCAACCACAATTCAACATTGACGCCATATCATATGGCTGAATCATGCAAGTTTCAAACAATTCGCCATATGAGATGGTGTATGAGTGTGTGAATTCAAAGGATTCGCCATCTGATAATATGACGAATGAGTGTAATTTGTAATTTTTTTTTATTTTCGTTAGCGTTTCTATTTTTGGTTTACTTTTTTGCTTTTTATTTTTCTAGGTTTTAATTTTTGTTTTTTTTCTAATTTTAGTTTTATAACATAATTAAAATAATATTTGTAATTTAAATAATGTAAAAAAATATAAATGGAAGAAATAGTAAAATATAATAATTTATAATAGAATACAAATTACAATTGATAAAAAAAGAAAATTAATGGTCGGCTCTATCTAAACGACCATCTGTACCACATTGTGGAGGATGTGCGTGATGTCGAGGTCTACCACGAGGTTGTTGAGGTGTATCTGGTCTTTGCATGTTGGCCCGTGGAAGAGGTATTTGTTCGGATGGCCCCGGCGTATCAGATAAATTTTGAAGCATTTGACCCCAATAGCCGGGAGGGTCACTATCAACGGTGCTTTCGTAATTAAGTTCAATGCCCATGTTTTCGTAGTTTTGTCGGGGAGGTTGGGTGAAGTATGAATGGTATGATTGTCCGAATTGGTACATCGAATCGGTTTGGAAACGATTTATTGGTTGTTGTGGAGTTTGGTATTCAAAAAGCGGATAGGTATTTTGTTGGTAGGAAGGAAGTTTGACTGTATGGTGTGGGTTCAAAAGAGTTATTTGGGCTATAGGTGGAGGGGGTAGGGTCAAAAGATGTATCAGGGCTATATGGGTAAGGCTCTTGTTGTTGTGATTGGGTTGGTGGCATGTATGTGTTATGGTTTTGGAAGATTGTTTGGGTGGGCATAGTTGGATGTTGCGTGTAAAATGGTGTTTGATGTTGGACATTTGGTTGCTGATGTGGAGTCGAGGAAGACGCACGTTGTCTCGGGTCAATTAAATATGTCGGCTGAGACAGAAATGGTTATGAGGTTGTAACCGACCTAAACCAAATCATATATTGATAACTTGGCATAGCCCCTTCCACAATATGGTCGATTAAGATGTGTTGACGTTGGTTCTTCCAATGCAGACACATCTCTTTCGCAAAGTCCTTCCAATGACCAACACTCAATTGTGAATCCACCGTAGCTGATGCCAGTGTCCCAATGACGTCGGAGCATCTGGAATATCTTGATGCATTCCGAACTGTAGTTTCACCCGGTCACTTTGGTGCATCTCCACTGTAGTGAACCTAATGATAGGTGTTTTAGATGTTCACACGGCAGCATCATCGGTGTTGGGCTGGTGGTCGAGACCCTCGTACAACATCCAGACAAACTACGTTAACAATATACGCAATGAGAAATATAATTTTGTGCTTATCAATTAGACAAAGTAAAGGTAGATAAATTACATCATTTGGCCCAATGTGTTCGATAAGGTTGCAGTACACGACTATGGAGTTTCTGGGACATCTTTGGTAATTCATCCCCATAACAGACCACCTAAAAAAAAAGAAACACAAATAAATTAGACATTAAGACACATCGTAATAATTAAGTTACAAAGAAACTTTGGTTGTAAAATCGTCTTAAAAATAAACTTACTTGTTAGCATATTGGAATGTACATGGATTGCGGTTGACTTGAG